GTCCCAAATTATAACATTTGATACAGAAACTGTGCTATCTTTATCATACCATTTTACACCAATACAAGTTTAATATTATCTACTCAGTTATGTTGTCCCAAATTATGTGGTTACAGATAATTGCAAAATTCAGTATTGTATTGTTAAAATTAATTTTTGAGGTTTTTTGGTGGAATATTTAAAGTTTATAAGACTTATGAGTAGGTTTGTATCATAATGGGTAATTTTGAGTGCCTTTTCATTTGTTTGTCTGTACTTATGTGTGTGTGTGTGTGTGGGGGGGGGGGTTATAGCTATTAGAATAGTGGATAAAAAGGTGGTGTGCCAGAAAGGTTTTTATCAATCTTTACATCTGCCATAAAAAATTCCTACATAATGTGTAAAGGAAATTATAACTGACCTTGTTTTTAAGTATAATATACAGTGGTAAATATGAGGGCTTGTAATGCTAAAAGTTAGGCTTTGATGACTACTGTGGGCACATTATGGATGTCCCATTGCATAGCTTTGTGCTTAACAATTTACAAACATCTACAAAGATTCATATGTAGTGATATTATAACATACTCCTTTTCATTAAATTACATTTTCAGGGTTGGCTTATAAGAACCTGCTATATTAAACTTTGAAAAAGCCTGAAAACGTTAGTTATTTAAGTATTTAAAAACTCTTATGTTTACAGTCAATAATACAAGTCATTCTAATGGTTGTAGAAATTTGTTGGATGTTAAGCCTTTTTTTTTCTTTCTTCTTCAGGTCATTCGTAAAGAACCAGGCCACAGTAGGGCAAGAGTGTTTAAAGAGGTAGAAACATTCCATCATTGTCATGGCCGTCAAAACATTATCCAGTTAATTGAATTTTTTGAAGAAGATGACAGGTAAGAAATATTAGATTTTTACAGGAGCAACTGTGATGTAAAGATACGGCTAATTCACATTTGATTATGAATTTATTATTTGCTGAAGTTGTAAGTGAGATATTTGCACTAGTGCTTGTTGTGCTTTATTTTGTCGCTGCTAAAATCTGGTTCATTACATTTTAACAGTTGGAATTTTAGCAGGAATTTTATACACAAACGTTATTTATGAACAGTGACTGCCCCAGAGATTTTAACATAACCCACAGTATGTAGTCTATGACAAAAAACTCTCGAGTAGTTGCAGTTCATAAATTTTGTTTTTACAATCCATAAACAAGAAATTTTAATATTTTAGCTTTAAAGAGTAGTTGGTTAAGCTTATTTTGATACATGTTTCTTTGTTTCAGATTCTATTTGGTCTTTGAAAAAGTCAAAGGAGGTATGTTTTCTCTATTCTACCTTGAATACATTATGAAATTATAATTAACTTATCAGTGGTTCATTTATGGGTTGTGTAAACATGCACTGTCCAAAGTTCATATTTTATTAGTGTTTCTTTAAATGTTGCCCCTGGTTTCGTTGCAGAAATTTTTATTTCTTTAATGATCATTAAGATACTGGGGAAACAAGGTACCTGATAAGGTGTTTTTTATTCATTACTTTTTTATGCAATTTTATTTAAATTTAAAAGGTTTAGAAAAAACATTCCAGAATTATTTACTTACTGGACACACTTAAATCATACTTGGTGGCTTTGAACGCCATCTATGGGTGTACTTGAGGATGAAATTGTAAAGAACATTCTGAATATTCAGTGCACTTGTGGCAACATTCATTTTATCGTTCACCATGAAACAACTATCACTAGATGAAATGATTTTATTTGACTGTATTTTCTTGGATATACAGTTGATACTTGTACTAAAAACGCAGTACTTGTCATTATGGTTATAACAAAAGAGCTAGTTCGTAAAGTGCAACATCCAGAAAATAACATGTAATTGTTGACTTAAAAGTTAGGAAAACGTGTTACGTTTTAGAATCTCTAATTATGTTTTAATTCTACTCTTCCCTCTACATTAACCAGTCATCAACATCCAGAATATAATATGTAATTGTTGACTTAAAAGTTAGGAAAACGTGTTACGTTTTGGAATTTCTAATTTTGTTTTAATTCTACTCTTCCCTCTACATTAACCAGTCATCAACATCCAGAATATAATATGTAATTGTTGACTTAAAAGTTAGGAAAACGTGTTACGTTTTGGAATCTCTAATTATGTTTTAATTCTACTCTTCCCTCTACATTAACCAGTCATCAACATTCCCTCTAAACATGCAGAAAACATGCATGTACTGCATATATTACAAATCTTATCACTCACAATCTCCTCCCTGCTCATAATTCACAATTTTTGAAGTCAGCTGCGAATAGTTTAGGGTACTGTTAGCAGGGTCTTGGTTTGTACTGTTGATATGTCTTACTGCCATCTGGTCATTATTTCAGTTTTAGTGTGCTATACTTTAAAGACAGTTATGTTTGATCTTTAATTCATTATACATTTATAGTAACATAGTGGTGATGTAGTTCAGACTCCTAAAGTGAATGCTGCCTAAGATAGGAAACGTAGTGGATTTGGTAGCCCACCTAAAAATAGAGAGAATATTGTAAGTTACACCCTAATAAGTTTTATATTTGATGTTGGCATTTCTGAAAATGTGCTTACATTTAATTTAAATTGTAGGACCTCTTCTTGCTCACTTGGAGAAACGGGTATACTTCACAGAGCATGAAGCAAGTTTGGTTATAAGAGATGTGGCCAGTGCTTTGAAGTTTTTACATCACAAAGGTAATCTATCTGTCCTTTAAATAAACTTTACCCTACATGAAGTTATGTAGTTATCATCTTTAGGGTGTCATTGTTAATTTGTTGGACAGTTTTTTTGTTTATTCCTTTAATTTCACTTGTAGGATGCTAAAATGTAAATCATTATTAAAATTAAAGTTTCATGAAATACTTTTTTCGTAGGAATTGCTCATAGAGACCTCAAGCCTGAAAACTTACTATGTTACAGTGAAGATGAGGTAAGATAATTTATAATTTTTTTTTTTGATGTTATATTGTACAAAACGTAATTTTGTGTGTTTTCATGTTAAGACATTTGTTTTAGGTTGGTGGAGGGAATACTAGGGATTTTTTTTAAGACTTCTAAGTAGATCTGAAAAATATCAATTGTGATTTTTGTGGGAATTTACTATAGGTTTTTCACACTGTATAGAACAATTTCTTGATGCTCTGTTGAAGCTAATTTTAAGTTGTTTGTAGATTTCCAACCGGTAACCTTCCCACACATCTCAACATGTTTTAAAATTGCTAATGTTAATGGTTATTCTTCTGGAGCAATTAAGAGATGAATACTGACAAATCAGTAGTTTTGGTATAGCTTAATTTTTCATTTTCTTTAAATAAAATCATGACAAAATATGTGTATGTTATCACACTGTGGTATTTGTAGTGTACATCTGGTTATTGTATACAAAATAACAAATCCATTGTCTCATCAACCTGGACATCTGTTTATGGAAATCTTAAAATACAAAGTACTATCCTCTTTTCCTCAACTTGGATCTCTGGATAAGGTTGTCACCAAGAACTTTTATCAAATGAAACTAATTTAATATCCAGTGAATGTTACATACGAGTTAAAATGTGAATCTTTAATGTAACAATCGTAAGTCCATAGCATGCAAACTTTGACCTCCACCCATGGACACAGGGTAAAGTACTATTATTTGAAACTATAGAAGACTGTTTCACTTAACTTGTATCCAAACACATGGTACTAAAGTACAAAGATTATAATACAGTCCTGTTTAATCCCTCTATCTGTTGTAATTTCTTTTTAACCTATACTTGTGGGATAAAAGAACAAAAATGCATGAAAGATGTAGAGTTGTTTTAATATCAAGACTAATGTACAGAATACTATCACATGGGGAAAGAGTATTTCAAAAACAGTTTACTAATGATCATGCAGTATTTTAATTTATTTCTAAAAGTATTGGATAACAATATAAAAAACAAAAAAAACTTGCAAAAAACCAAATTGTTCATAGTTGTTTTTATTGTAGGTTTGCCCTGTTAAAATTTGTGATTTTGACTTGGGAAGTGGAATTGTTTTTGGAAGTACAACCCCAGTCAGTACTCCAGAGCTGTTAACTCCTGTGGGCTCAGCCGAGTTTATGGCCCCAGAAGTGGTAGAAGCTTTCATTGGAGAAGCCACTCCTTATGATAAACGATGTGATATGTGGAGCTTGGGTGTAATCATGTAAGTAGACAAATATTAACTTACAATAAACTCCATGTGATAAACAATGTGATATGTGGAGCTTGGGTGTGATTATGTAAGTAGACAAATATTAACTTATAATAAACTCCATCTGATAAATGATGTGATATGTGGAGCTTGGGTGTGATCATGTAAGTAGACAAATATTAACTTACAATAAACTCCATGTGATAAACGATGTGATGTGTGGAGCTTGGGTGTAATCATGTAAGTAGACAAATATTAACTTACAATAAACTCCATGTGATAAACGATGTGATATGTGGAGCTTGGGTGTGATCATGTAAGTAGACAAATATTAACTTACAATAAACTCCATGTGATAAACGATGTGATATGTGGAGCTTGGGTGTGATCATGTAAGTAGACAAATGTTAACTTACAATAAACTCCATGTGATAAATGATGTGATATGTGGAGCTTGGGTGTAATCATGTAAGTAGACAAATATTAACTTACAATAAACTCCATGTAATAAACAATGTAGTAGGTGGAGCTTGGGTGTGATCATGTAAGTAGACAAATATTAACTTATAATAAACTCCATCTGATAAATGATGTGATATGTGGAGCTTGGGTGTGATCATGTAAGTAGACAAATGTTAACTTACAATAAGACTTCTGACTTCACATTTAATTTTTGTGGATGGTGGTGATTGTGAGGGGGGGGGGCAATTGAATGATTGAAATAAAAAGTAATTATGTTGGCTAATAACAATATACAAACTTTTTGGTATCGTTGCTCAGAATATACAATATAGTAATTATGTTGGCTAGTAACAATATACAAACTTTTTGGTGTCGTTGCTCAGAATATACAATATAGTAATTATGTTGGCTAGTAACAATATACAAACTTTTTGGTCTCGTTGCTCAGAATATACAATATAGTAATTATGTTGGCTAGTAACAATATACAAACTTTTTGGTGTCGTTGCTCAGAATATACAACAATTTCAGATAGAGAACAAGTTCATAGATTTAGTTTGTTTTTTTCTTGTTCCATTTGCCAACTTAATTTGTGCATATTAACTTGTGTTCTATGACTTGATGTTTATAAATTGGTTTAGTTTTACGTGTATGATGTTTTTAGTAATCTTTCATTTGATTTGGGCTTAGTTTTTGTTTTCAATGCATAATTATTATTTTTGTCCATCTCAATTACAAAAATGTAAAAATGAGTGTGTTAAGCCTAGATTTTTAGGATTTTATTGGTTTACATTTGACAATGTTTTTTATGTGAAATACAGGTATATATTGCTGTGTGGATACCCTCCTTTTTACGGGCGATGTGGAAGCGATTGTGGATGGGAGCGTGGCGAGTTTTGTGAGGCATGTCAAGAGATGCTCTTCACCTGTATCCAAGAGGGTGATTATGATTTTCCAGAGCGAGAATGGTCCTGTGTTTCTGAAGAAGCTAAAGACTTGATACGGCATTTGTTGGTAAAAGATGCGAGTCAGCGTTACACGGCCGAGATGGTTTTAAATCATCCGTGGGTAGCACATGGGGGACCAACCAAGCCATTAGATACACCTAGTATCTTGAGGAGGTGTGTATTTTAATATAACTATCATTTATATTGGGTTTCACAAAAGTTACTTAAGCTGTGAGGTGCTTAAGGCTATGCATTCAGAAATCTTTTTCATGAACTCTGAATATTTCTATCGAGGTTGAAATGGTGTAATTTCATGGTTATTGATGGGTGTTGAAATTGGACATGGTAGTATAGATAAATATTGAAACTATAAAATAGAAGAGAATCCAAACTACAAGTAGCTGGATTCACACAGGTTATGAAAATCTTGGAAAGTCGTAGAATTTTGTAAAACTTTATTTTTTGATACTTGAAATCCTGGAAGATCCATGATTTTTATCAGTAGGTTCTTGCCAAGTCACAAATCTAAACCCATCACTCCTTCATCCCCAATTTTTATTCACAGCCAGCCATAAATTATGTTTATCTCACTCTTATCAAAAACTGTCATTAGAAAATTAACACTGGTAAATTGGGAATAACACCAACAAGGTGTTATTGGCCCACAAGGTATCCATTCTTTAAGTGGACTTGCAGCAGTAAACTTAAAAAATGTTTAAAAATAATAAATTAAATTATGTTGGAAAACTTAAATATATACAACATTGTTAACATACTCAACAATACGAGATGTCTGTACAATAAGAGTTTTGAATCTTTGCTTTGTTGGCTTGGTTGGTATGGTGATACATATTGATGTGTGTTCAGCAACAGGTTGGGGGCAAGTTGACTTCTGTTGGTAAATTGAAATAGTATATCTAGCAAGGGAAATTTTATGTTTTTAGTGGCTCAGCTGTGCATAAGTTCAAAGAAAAATGTCATCACATGGGTCATCAGTAAATTTATGGACTTATAACTCTAAAATTGTGGATTTGATTCCACCTGGTGGATAAAGTTTAAATAGCCCATCGTGTAGCTATGCACAGAAATAAAACTCAATGTTTTACCATGCATCAAATTTTTAATTACAACCTTTCACTTTAATACTACATGTACTGACGATATTTCACAACCTTCATCAGGAGTGATGTTTTACATAAATAACAATGATGATGATAAGTGAAATACTGCCAGTACATATTGAAGTTTATAAATTATCACTCGGGAAGTATTCTTGGGAAACTGTAAATAATGAAGAATTGATTAGTGCAGTGTCCAGAAGAGTATTCATTTAGTGCAGTATCCAGAAGAGTATTCATTTAGTGCAGTATGCCAGTAGAGTATTCATTTAGTGCAGTATCCAGTAGAGCATTCATTTAGTGCAGTATGCAGTAGAGTATCCAGTAGAGCATTCATTTGGTGCAGTATCCAGTAGAGCATTCATTTGGTGCAGCCAAATGAATGCTCTACTGGACATGCAGTGTCCAGTAGAGCATTCATTTGGTGCAGTGTCCAGTAGAGCATTCATTTGGTGCAGTGTCCAGTAGAGCATTCATTTGGTGCAGTGTCCAGTAGAGC